CATCAGGTTCTTGAGGAAGCCAGGCAGGCTGCCGACCGGAATGACATAAGTCGGCTCCACCAACTGGTCAGGCGGCTCAGCCCAAAAACCAAGACCTCACGGATTCAGATTCGATCTGCCGACGGCCAGATCCTCAGTCCCTTGGAGGAGTTCACCCACCTCAAGTGTTTTGTTCAGAAGACATGGCACGATGAACCCCTTCCGACGATGCTGACGCCGCGGGGCCCAGGGATCCCATTCTCGACTGACGAACTTGAGAGAGCTTTGGCAAGAGTTGCTCCGCTGAAAGCTAATGCACCAGGCACTTGTGCCTCACTTAGCATTCTGTGTTGTCCTGAGCTCATTGCTGCTAGGCTCATGACCTTATTGACCCGATGGTGGACCCACCCTGTTCCCTTCATTCCGGATGGATGGAAGAATGGATTTCTGTTTCTCCTCCCCAAGCCTGAAAAACCTCCCAATAGTGCCCAGAATCTCCGCCCTCTTGCTTTGCAGGACGTTTTGGGTAAGGTAATTCTAGGCCTTATTAGTGGACATGCCAGACATTCTGTTCTTGATCTGTTGTGTTCCACCCCCAAATGGCCTATTTGCCGGCACGGGGTACTTCAGATGCCATTGCTAGAGCGGTGCAACACTGCCAGATCGTTACTGCTATGCAAGCAGTATCAACGCCCGACGGAGCGATTCACCTCGGGTCTCCGACAGTGCAAGCTGGTGGGAGGAGCACTTCTTAGCTTGGATTTGAGTAAAGCTTTTGACAGCATTTCTCGACACCACCTGTTTTCCGGAATGGCGGATCTTGGGGTTCGACCTGACTGTCTCCAACTCCTGTATGAATGGCATCGAGGAACACATTATGACATCCAACACAAGGGTTTTGCCACATCAATTCCTGTTTTTAAAGGGGTTCGGCAAGGTTGCAAGGCAGCTCCATTTCTTTGGTGCTGCTTCACTACGATTCTACTGAACAAGCTTGCAAGTCGAACGTCCTGGGAATGGGTGAATCGGTACGTCACAGTATATGCAGATGATTTTCTGGTGCACCAAGCCTTTCAGTCCTTGGATGATTTTTCTGAATTTGTTCGCAACTGTGGTATTCTGTTGGATGTTCTTACTGAATTCCAGCTTCAGATCAACTTACAGAAATGTTATTCGATGATCTCCATGCAAGGCAGTGCACTGAGGAAGGCACAAGCCAAGCACCTCAAGCAAACCGCTAGCGGCTGGCACATCTGTTTTCCCCGGAACCACACTGATGCTGCTATGGTTGCCCTACAACCACGGTTCCCTATCTTGGAATTCAGCTCTCTTACAAAACACTGCAGACTTCTACCTTGCAACACCGTCTTCAGTGTGGGCTCCGGGCGTTCCAAAGATTGCGAACCTGGCTGTGCTCGAAAAGGGGCCTCACCTGCAAGCAGCGAGAATCTTTGTGGTGTTCGGTGGTAAGGACCACAACTTTGTACGGCGTACAAGTGATTGGATGCAGTCCTGCTGGGCTCAGAAGACTTCTTTCACGACTCACCATTCAACAACGGATGTTCATGCAAGATCACTCACATGTCACACATCGTTCACACAGGGAGTTTCATGAACATTTTGACATTGAACCACCAGCAGTTTTTCTCCGACGCTTGTGCATCCGGACCCTTCGAGGTGGGGCTGATCGACTTGCAAATCTTGAAGCCACTGACATTCTCCATACCGTTCGATACACGGAAACTGACCGATTGATTTCCTTATTGGATGACTGGATTGTGTCGCAGGCCCGCGGAGTGGACGTCATTCGACCTGCATTCCAGTGCCGCACATGCCTCGAGACATTCAACAGTGCAATCCTTCTCACCAAACATGAACATCAAATTCATTCACGTGGCCGTTCTAGATGTTTTCAGTTTAGGTTGGATTGAGACGCACGAGCTGGACATCCTCAGTGCCGACACTGTGACAAGACCTTCCAGTCATGGACTAATCTCCGAACTCATGTTGAATTCGGCAATTGCCCCATGTTTGACGCCGCTCAGGTCGGCATGGACCTGGGGCAGCTGCAACAACGAGCAGCGCCGCTGATCCAGGAGCACAGTCTTGATGCACTGGCACAGACTCCGGATGTGTGCACCTACATGATGAACCATTGTATCCTGTGTGGGAAACATCAATCCAGGTTTTCAGACATGGTGCATCACCTTCAACTGGACCATTGCACTTATGCCCTTGCAAGCCAACACCATTACTCCAAATGGGCTACCGCTCGGAGGTCCCCATGCAATGTTTGCCAACATGACTATAAGACTTCTCATCAGTGCAAGATCCTCCTGCAGGCCTCGGTACTCCATCAGTGGCTTTGCCATCTGGCTGATGCTCCTGCTTCCCATGCATATCCAATTGAGGATGACCAGGACCTGGCTGATCATCTCTGTGTTCACTGCGCAGAGATCTTCTCTTCTGACACTGCTCTTGAACGCCACTTACGGGAAGATCACTCCAGGTTCTGTTGCATCAGGGACACTGTCCATGGCACCACCGTATGCCGACACTGCCGCAGCCACTTTGGGGAACAATGGGAGTTACGACGACACATTGATCGAGGATCCTGTGACCACCTGGATCCAATGGGTGATCAGAAGCCGGGCACCGTCCTCCGCCTGGATGACATCTTCATGGACCAGATCAAGGCCGGCGGAAGCGCTGCAGGATTCGTCTATGAGACACAAGCTCACAATGACTTGCTCGTTCTGCGGACAAGCTTATGCCAGAACAGCTGACCTGATCAGACATTTGCAATGTCACCATGGAGGGTTTTTCAGAGCGGCTGATCTCACCTCCAACATGATCGATGAAGCTCGCCTCTCATGTGTTTGCAATCCTTGTCGTGTTCCACAACCACGCTCCTACAGATGTCCGGCCCATCGACAGATGGCAATGCTCCAACACTTATGTGACCCTCATCATCGAAGACTGATGTTGCCATGGGCTCCCACTGAGGCCTCGGTTCAGCAATTGATTCAGCTTCACACCCTGCTCCATGTCACAGGTTCCTGAACTGGGCCAATGGCTGCTGCATCCAGATCGAACTTCATGGACCTTCATGATGCGACACTGCCAGGTACTCAGCCACTCGTGCATCCTGTGCTCTCGGACCTTTGAGAAGTCAGATCAGTTGTTTGACCACCTGACTCAAACTCATCGGACTCATAGCAGCAGCTGTGGGTTTCTCCTTCATGCCATGCTTCGATATCTCTTGGCTCAACGACCGGCGTTGGCTGATACCCTGCCTTGTTCATGGTGTGGCAACACTGCCAAGAACTACAGTCTCTTGGATGAGAGTGCTTGGTCTAGATTGGAACATCAGTGTTCCTCTCTCCTGAACCTTGGTTGTGCTGTTGCTTGGCTTCGACCAGATCTTCATGATGGACGAAATGATGCAAATCCAAGACGGCGACCGTGTGACACAGGTGGGCAGGGCATTCTTAAATATGCTCGCGTCACCGGACGACCTGGATCTGGAACTCCCGCAGGAAAAGAGGAAAAGGAAGGAGACCACGCCTCTGCAGCCATCTCGACGGAGAGCCAGCTTAGCATCATCCCCTAGGACGAACAGCTCGACGTCCTCGACCAGGGACGAAGATCCTCCACAGTTGAACAAACTGTGCAGGCTCATGGGACAGCTTCTCATTCGGCACGAGGACCAGATGAACTCGGTGTGTATGCAGGACTCGTTCGTCATCTTCTTCCAGAGGGGGAATGCGGGGGTCCTTCCTCTTCTCATGAGATCCGCAGGACAATGGCGAAACCTTCCTCAAGACCAAGTGATGATGCCTCTACGCAGCTTTCTCATCCAAGCCGTCGTTGCCGAACTGGTCACTCGCTTTCAGAAGCTCAAGACACAGTTGCAGGACGACTCCACCAAGAAGGCTGCCATCCAAAGCAAGACGGTCATGGAGGATCACAGCTTCCCACACCTGACCTGGAGCTCCAAACATCAAAGCCTGGAGATTATGCAGACCGCTCCAATCGCCTGGAGTCCCACCTCGGCCTTCTTCAGCAAGCTTTTCAGGAACCGGGCAATTGCATCAGATTCTTCGCCATGGCGGCCCAAAACAGCAGGGGGGAAGTCATCCCATGGAGACTCCAGATCTCCCTGAGGAACGACTCCTTAGCAAGCCTTCTCAAGCTGCTGGCAGGCTCGTCCCTGTGGAATCTGGTGGGTGCCAGGATGCGCCAACATGGACCCCAACGTTCGCAGCTGGCTCAGGACCTTCAGCAGATCCTTCGACCACGAGGGGACAGGCGCTGAAGCTCCACTGGATTGACACCATCCGGATCCTGCAATGCAAAAATGATGCCAATTGGTGCTATCTCAATGCCGGCTTGATCTCCATGATCTGGACCCTTGTGCACTCCGCCCATTTTGATGAGTACACTTCAAGTGCAGCATGGAATGCTGTACAGGGGATGCTTGCATCTGTGAAGACAGATGAGCCAACAGCTTTGTTCAGCTTGCCGCAGCTCGCTGACCTTTTTCTGGGGAAGCCCTCAGGGGAACAGAGGGACATTGGTGAGTTCACAAGTGAAATCCTTTTGTGGGGCAAATCCGCACAGACCTCACAAGCATGGGAACGCCGCCTTGAGACCAAGGATGGCATCACTTGTTTTGAAGCCGGGAGTGAATCCCAACCGGTGGCCTTAGTGCACCTCTATGAGCTAGATCGAGAAAAGGTGTCCCTTGCAGAACTTCCGTCACCCTGGTTGCACTGTCACTCCATGGTGACGGCCTTCACGGGAC